CAGTTGAGTAACTTTTTGCATTTTAAATAACTGTTTTGGATGTGTTCCGGTCAGGCTTTCGTCCAAACCACAGCACTGAGACTGCTCTTGTAAAGGTCTTCAATGACATCCACTTAAACACAGACAGTGGCAGAACTTCAGTGTTAGTATTATTAGATCTCAGTACTGCGTTTGACACTGTTGACCACAACATATTACTAGACCGACTGGAAAACTGGGTGGGACTTTCGGTAACAGTTCTGCGTTGGTTAATCCACTTTGTCTGTGTCACTTTGTTTTTATTGGTGATACTAGGGCCGGGACTTTAACGCGTTAATTAAGATTAATTAATTACACAAAAATGAACGCGTTAAAAAAATTAACGCATTTTAATCGCACTTATTTTTGTACCGCGGAACGTTTCTCACTGGATGAGTTTCAGGGGTACCGATTATACTGGAGCACCAACTAACGTTCATGACTTCAGACAACAACAAACCACAGTGAACAATAGTCAAACTGAACGAAGAAGCTGATGTGACCCTTTGGTTGGCCCCGTGGATGGGACATTTGTTTTAAAAAACGGACGGATGGAAGCGTCGATAAGAGCACGGTTGTTTGCAAATTATGCAAAAAGGAATTGTGTATCACCGCAGCCATCAAGCCTCAAGTATCACCTCAATGCAAAACTATAGCAGCTAGCGTGGAAGCTAGCGTGGACGTTAGCCCGACTCGGAGTACAAGGACCCCACACCCAATTCGCGTTGATCAAACAGTGGCCTATGCAACAGAGAGATTTTATTTTTCATCAGGATATTGGAAGAATAGGAGGGATTGAGGTCAATCACTGGCACTTTTTTATTTTATTTTAAATGGTACAGTACACTTTATGTTGAACTATTTATTACGTTGTTGGTGCAACTGGCACTTTATGTTGAACTGTTTATTGTTTTGGCCAAGGTTATTGAGAGAGTTGGACTGAAATGTATTAGATTTTTTAAATCAACTGTTGGTAAATCAACAAAGTCTGTTATGGCCTCTGAAGCAACAGAGAGATGTTTTCTAATAGTCAGGGTTTCCTATGTTCTGAATGTACTTGAAAGTATTGTGTTTTACTTAAAAAACAAAGTGTTATAGTTTACAGAAGGTCTACCTACCTATAGGCTACCTGAATCTCTGAAATGTACTATATTCCTAAATATGCTATTGCTACACTTTATGGCAAAAATTGCACTTTTCTGTTGGTCTTGGTTAAGTACATCCTTGAAAAAAATAAACAATGTTTTGTTGCTTAAGCTTATGTATTCAGTCATTATTCAATGGTATACTAAAATCCATGTGAAAAAAATTGCTTCTCACTGTTCTCAGGTCAAATATTTATATGTGATTAAAAATGCGATTAATTGCGATTAATTAATTACAAAGCCTGTAATTAATTAGATTAATTTTTTTAATCGAGTCCCGGCCCTAATATATATATATATATATATATATATAGACATCTACGTTTTTTGTGCCCCACCACTTTTGTATATATAAAAACGCTACTGCGTACTGCGCCGAAGCTTCGGAGCGTGGTTCGAGTAATCCAGGATTTTGGTGAAGCGTGTATCAAGGCTTGTATCGTTTTGGGCCAGTGACGTCATCGATGACAAAAGAAGCCTCGCTGCCCAACAATACAGCATGACTGCTTCAGATCGGTTGAACCACTGACACCTCACAGTTTTACAACACTCATATTACCCCTCCTGTACCCGGGCCCGATGCCACAATGGGATTAAGAGAGCTCAGACCCTCACTTATACCCACCCTGAAGATTGTTTGTTTGTTTGTCAACACATCACTTAGTTTGGTTTCATAACCTGCTTATTTTTCGAGGTTTTAAATACAAGTTTGGCACCAAATTACACATCCCAATTAAAGAGACTACAGACAGAAGGGAGAAGACCAGTGAGAAACAGAAATGCAGGAACGTGCTGATTGGCTAAGAGTAAGACAAAGTATATTAAGTGTAAAGTAATGCTTCAGTGTTTTCAGGTAGAACCAGCATATGGGCTGTTGCTCAGCTGGAAGGCTTTTGACTTTCAACCACAGGGTCCCTGGTTCAACGACTGGTCAGTATATATTTTTTGTTTTGTTTATAAAAGCATCAGCTAAATGCAATAATGTTTACCAGCCTCCTTAGGCTTTTCAATCACTCAACAGGAATATATACAATACTGATACAAATTGATTACATGAAAATATGATTCCATGTTCATTGTTTAGAGTTATTCTAAGGCTTTACTCATTGGGATAACAGTTCAAGAAAGACCACACTGTTGAGATGTCATATCTGCCTGTTTTACACTCTTTGACCAACGTTGGTGTTCAAATAAAGCCTCATGAGATGAGCCCTTTTGCGAACCATATGGTTGGAAAGCTTCAAAGCTTCATAAGGCTTCATCTCGCCATCACTTGTACTCAGGTCCTCCCCAATACATTGTTGGACTGCTACTTACCCATGGGCCACCTCTGCGGAGTGTGTGACTGTCGGGCTGATGACCGGTGACTGGGTTCTGGTAACTGAAATGGGGGCCACCACAGTTGGAAGCACAGCTGTAGATGTGGTTACAGCAGGGCGGGACTGTGGGAAAAGTATATGATTAGACAAAATGTACTAAAAGGATTTCAACATAAAATCCAAACATGTTCAGATTCAAGTATATCCAGGTACCTGAATAGTCTGGTGTATGATGTGTTGCACTGTGGGCCCGGGGCCCGCGCTGGCTCCTGTGGCCGGCCGCAGGACCGTTTTGGAACTGGACATAACAGCTGCTGCAGCAGCCCCTACAGGGAGGAGGGAGACTATTGAAGGGATATGCAGTGCTAGAAACAAACAGTTAAAGGACAACTAATGTATTTAATGTAAGGGGTGCAAAATAAGACTATATATATAAGAATTTATATCGTAGTATGTTTTGGGATTTTTGAGGTATTGTAACACCGTATAACAAAATGAAAAGGGATACTTCCATCAGAACACCATCCCACCACCTTTTACTCTATTGGCAATATAGGGCAACATGTCACATATTTATTTTAATGATGTGTATATCTACATAGTAAAGAAAGTGAGGTTGATGGCTGTGAGTTGATTTGTTGAGGGAATTGTTATGCTTAGTAACAATGAGCTGTGCAATAAAAAAATATATGAGGAAAGATTTTTTTCAATCTGCCGTTCTGTTTTATTATTTGAAAGTTTTTTCACCTCTTGAATAAAAGGTGCCAGGTCATTTGTGATTTGATTTACCACAAATATACCCTTAAAGCTGGGAATGTACATCTTTGAAGAAACGTAATGCTAACATAACCTTTTACAACTTAACCGACATGAAGAAAGATGTAAAATGTATAATAAACAAACAGGCCTGGCATTCCGTTTTTATTAAATGATGCATACCTCGGGGTAAATGGGATGTGAACGTCTGGGGGGGGACTGAAGGGGTCCCGACCTGCAGAGCAGGGGCACTGCCCCGTATGATTTGAATGCTTGCTGGCATCAGGTGGTGTAAGTTGCTAGGGTGACCCTAAAACACAATAAAAGAAGCATACAGCTTTAGTCATCAGCAAGAAAGAGACAATGAAGACACCACAGCCTGAAGACAGTGAACTCACCTGCTGACCGCTGATAGTTGCCACAGGAATAGATTGGGTTGGAGGCATACCGCTTTCCATGGTGACAGTTAAATGACCAGGCACTTTGGGGGGGATGGGGATATGACCCTGGTTTGAAGCTGGTGCTGGGGCAATAAGACGACTTGGCATTGGTGATTTCAGGACAGCCTAAAGACACAAAAAATAATCGGTTTATTGTAACACTGAAGGGTGTTAAGAACATTATTAGAACATGTTGAGTGAAATCAATAAAAGGAATATCAAACAACATCTTGAAGGAGAACAATGTTACATTTTTATTTAAAACATTGTTTAAAGGCTAGAGTTTGCACATGGCCCCTTTTTAAATTAATTGGTGATATTAAGCTAAAAAATAAGCTTGCAAAGTTCCTCAATTTGAGACCTTCGTTCGGATTTAGTAAAAATAGAGTAGTAGGTTTATAAAAGAAAAACAATCCTACGAATCTGGTTATTTTTTATATTTTCATCTCCCAATAAGGGTGGTACATACTTTCCGATTCACATGTATACTACAGCTTTGAACAGTTACAGATGTAAACATCACCTTCATCTGCCCCTCTGTGAGGATTGCAGGCTGGCCCTGAGGGAGGTGCACAGGGGGGGCAGGCACAGTCACAGGAGTGCCAGGCTGGATGGACATAGTTTGGGGGGCAGCTTGTGGCTGGCCGTGTGTCTGTACTTGTGGGTAGGGTCTGACCACCATGGTCTCCTGCTTCTCATCTCTGGACGCCAAGGCCCCCCCGCCCCCAGCAGGTGGATGATCCTGCTGTCTATCAGCATCCCAACTGCTGTCAGCATCTGGACCTGCTAAGAAAACATGTTAGATTAAATAGGCATCTCCCTTGCCAGAAATTAAGCAACTAGTGAGTCATTGCTGTGAGGATCAGTTACCTGCTGCATTTGACTGCTGATTGATGGACACCAGGTTTCCAGCCGCGGGGATCTGAGGGGCTCCCCCGCCGGAAGCAGGCAGCCCGTGTCGGGGGAATTGCTGGGAGCTCATTTTAACTATAACCTAAAAATAATGTTAAGATTGGAGATTAATTAACTGCAGCAGCAGTCATATCTAATATATAATTAAGGTTTAAAGTCAGAACAATTGCCTTCCCTTTATGAAACATGCACGACGGCTACAACAATAAGAGCATATCAGTGTTAACCCTTTAGGGGCGGCGCGGGGACATAAACAGACTAATGGAGCGCTGCTAGTAGTACCAAGCAACCAGCCAGTTTACCAAAAGGTGTGAATAAAACGGATACCGTTATGAATACAAATTACTATAAAAAACAATACATTGTTTTAGACCTTTTGTTTACCGTTATATGGTTAATAACATGACAGAATTGCTCGACAACAACTGTTTCGAAGCTTATCAAATACCATCTTTATGGGCACTTTAAAAAACGACTTTTCGACTGCCTGTTTCAAAATAATCAAACGCGATACCTGCTCGGTCACATAGCCCACACTATGGGCTCTGGTTTTGCCCCGGTAACCTTAAAACTAAAAAGCTACCTTGTTAGCCAGCTATGTTAGCTAGCAGCAGGCTAACGTTAGAATCGCTCATCCTGCTGTCGGCTGCTTTTCATGTTAAATGCCTGAAGTTGTTCAAACGGCGTATTGTTCATATGGCTAAGCAAACGAGCATGTATCTTCGTGTGTGCAGATGTTACCGTATCGTGGAAGTACTAGGCAATGGTCGATTTGTGGATTACAATTTTTTCCATTCGTCTTTTCTTTTTTCCAACATGTAAGCCGGAAGATCGGCCAAGAACAACCGTCCCTCCCTGTGTCTTTCCACCAATTGGATAGGAGACTCTCAGATTGCTGACCAATCGTAGCAGCCAAAATGTTAAACTGCACTAGGGGGGTCGCTAGGAATGGCAACACCAGTCCACGGAAGTAGCCGAAGTAGCACCGGAGCTAACCTCGATCTAACCGGTTAGTAGTACTTCCAGTTGGCCACGGTTAGACACTGCACTGTGAATACTAGGCTACTTTTACAATGCAAAACAATATTATGCACACACGTGCGTTGTCGTACATGGCCAACGGTAAAGGACGTCCTCTGACGGCAAATATGAAAGTAAATATACACTCAAGTAAATCTCTGGCATTCAGAATACAGAAAAAAACTAGAGATAGGCCTATACTAAGTAATTCCAAATTGAAATGAAGGAACATTTCTTAAGAGTTACATTATGTCATGCTGTTTGGATATTATTATGCCACAAGGGAGAATTATACTTTTGTGACAACGGCCTACATAGCATAGATGTACTTAAAAGTCGTAATGTATCTTATGTATGATGTTGTTATGTAACATTTTAGTCTACAAAATTTGCTGTCATATGAATGTCATGGAGTAAATATTTGTCTCTTGAATAAAGTGGACGTTTAAAGTAGCATACACTACATAGGCTTACTAAAAGTAACCTCAAAGTTTTCCCTCTAAGCTGTAGGGCCTACGTAATATATTATTACTAGTTCCCTTCCCACCACTGCCATGAGCTGTGTCTTTAACATAGTTTTGAAATTAAACAGTACAGGGTTTAGTGAAATACTACTAAAAGCAGTCGGTCACATGACCATCGCCTTTCAGGTGGTCTCCCGCCTTGCAAAGTGATTGGAGCTGGCTGCTTATCTTTAGTGCCCTCCTGCGATCCTTTCAGTAAGACACTAGAGGGCGGTAGCCTCATACAGAACTGTCTTAAGACTGTCATTGTATGTCCTATGATTCTGACCTCGTCTGTGAAGACAACTCCAAAAAAATCGTTTTTTTCTTTTGACTGGCACAACATTTAAACACAGATTGAATTAAATTATAACATGAAGGATACCTGAAGTCTAGTTTTTTTTACTGTCACAGCTTACTCCAATTGAATATAACAGTCGTAGTAGCAAATGTTGTCACTAGACCAGTGGTTCTCCAACTTTTTGGGAAAAAAAAAAAGTCGGCCCCCCCAACACAACTAGTCACGTAATGGGCCAAGTTAACATTTATTAAAATACATCAATATGAACGTGAGCATTCCTTTAAAAAAATTTAAAAAATCACTTTGCCAGAACAGTGATAATAAAACAATGCTCCATAAGTCTGTTTGCTCAAAAAAAAATACATAATAAAATTGTGCAATCCCTTTGCTAGAACAATAAGTTATAATACTTTGCAATCTTTGCAAAAAAAATGAAAAGAAAGAAAATGCTGATATTTGGCAAAAAAGTCTGTCTTCTTATCACATCATTAGTGGCTGCAATGAGCCTGTGTTGCACAGCACATTTCTTCAAAATGGGGCTGCAGGCTCAGTGGCGGCGCCAGAGATTTCTTTTGGGGGTGCTGTGGGGTAGCTTGACGTTTCATAGAGGGTGCTCAAACATGTAGGGTTTCCCATTAAGGTACCGGTCGCTACAGTGGAATTTTCTACTGCAACACTCCCCACGCAAATACACAGTGTACCCACGCCTGTTACAATGAAGGCTCGATAATCAGCTCACGGCATATAGGTGTAAGCAGGGGTAAAGTGCTATTTTTATAGGTGGTGTGTGGACCTAACATCGGGGGATCCGGGGGCAAGCTCGTCCGGGAAGATTTGTTTTTAAATATTGAAGTTAAAAGCATCAATCTGGTGCACTTTGAGAGCAAAATGAAGAGACCTATGGATACCTCTCTCAACACCCATATGAAACAGAACTGTAAACAGATTTACTATTTCTTTATCGATATTTTACAAATCACCCTTTTAAACTTTATTCTTTTTTTAATGTCATATAGTATTTCATACCTGTTTTTCATTTATTCTCTTATTTTTGTATAACTATAATGATCATATAAACGTGTGACTCGGAAATAATTGTTTACATTAATGGTGACCAAAACGTTTGAGACCCACTGAGATAACTTAGACTAAAGTTAACTATCTAAACATCAGTC